TGAGCGGAAGGGCAATCTTTCTGGTGTCTTGCCCTTCCGAAGTTTCTCCGTTTCATGTTGTTGTCCACGTGTCCCCTTGATACTAAATCTTCCGCGGCGCTGCTTCCAGCCTATGATGATAATGATATGAATGTGTTGTTGTTGATTTCTCATTGTTTCACTCTTTGCATCGTGCACATTGACACCTTGTGAATGTTGCACCTATGCTGCTGGTTGTTGCCACTTTCGTCATTGCTAGATCCTAGGTTTTCAGTGCATTTCACTTTCTGATATGCTACAAGTGGTATCGGAGCTAGTGCGATGAATCTTGGCAGCAACCAATCAATAGATTGATTGGATTGGATTGGCGGTTTGCCACCAATCAATCTTCGATTGATTGATCAGTCAATCAGGAGATTGATCGAACAATCGATCGATCAACCACAATCATCTGAGATTGATTGATTGATTGATTGATTGATTAATTAGTTGATTGATTATTTGGCAATTTTTTATCTTGGAAATTTCCCAAAATTAATTAATTATTAAATTTTTCCGAGAAATTATTTCTTTTTCCGATAAATTTTTTTTCCGAGAAAAAAATTTCGAGAAATTATTATTCTTTTCCGAAAAATTATTTTTTCGAGAAATTTGTTTTCCGAGAATTTTTTTTTCGTTCTGAGAATTCTTTTTCCGAGAATTTTTTTTTTATTACCTTATTTAATTGTTAAATGTCTGCATTTTGACAAATTTGATTCTTTTTCCGAAAATGTCCCTCTACACTTTCACTGCGTAGGTTTGCATTTTTTTTCCTTTCTGCAACCTACTCCTACTCTGAGTTGTAAAGATATCTCTTTTCTGATTCTCTGCAGTTTGAGCACCGAAGGTTCACAATTGCTTTTTGCATCACCTTCGGCACTCAGTGGGATTGGACAGTCTTTTTTCGAATTTTTATTTATTTCTTAATCAAAAATTATTTTTTTTTCTTTTTTTGATTAGGGAACTGTTCAATTTGGGATCTGTCCGATCCTTCCCACTTGTCTGCAGCCTACCTGTTCTTTCCCCTCCAGTCCGAATACTGGGCCAGTCTATCTGATTGGCCCATAGGTGACTCTTCAGAGCAGTGCATGCCACCACTCACTCGATCACAGACCAAGACCATGGACCGGAAGGAGGGAGAATCCCTCCTGGCCTATGAGKAACGCCTGGCTGCTTTCATCCAGGAGGCCAATGACAGGGCTGCCGCYGCGGCCAAGGAACGTGGTCGGATTGAGCAAGAAGAGGAGGCCGAGCGACAGAAGGAAGAACAGGACCGACTTCGTCAAGAGGAGGCAGACCTGCAGGCGACAGCCGAACACCGGTCACGCCAGCGGGAACGACTGTTCACGCGGGAGACCGTGATCGGCGATGAGGCCGCACATTGGGTGGAAGTGTTATCTGCAGACGGGGCCCCGGAGACTGAGAAAGGTCTGTCAGCCCTTGCGCAGGTCTCCCACGACCTCGTGGCCACCTGCGCTCTGCAGCAGGAGGAAATCCTTCACCTGCAGCAGACAGTGGACCAGATGCTCGCACGGCTGCAGGCGTTGGAGAAACAGCCAGCTGGTGTAGCAGCCGCAGGGCTTTCAAAGCTTGCCACCCGTGTTCAAGTTTTGGAGGACGACGTCAGCAATATCAAGCGTGTGCATCAAGACTTCAGGACGTCGCAGCAAGCAACGAACTTGCAGTTGGAGATGCAGGTCCAGGCTGCTGCCACCGTGACGCCCGCCGCCGCATCCTCCAGGCGACCACCCAAAGTGGATGACATTCCAGTTTTCGGTGATCAGTCCAAGACGGAACCGATCCCGTGGTGGCGCCAGTTTACTCTCAGGCTCGACATGCACCATGTCTCGAACAACGATCGACATCCGTGCTTGTACCACCGATCTGGTGGTGCATGTCAAGCATGGCTGGACAACATCTTGACCAGCCACGGCGTAGCAGTGTCGGAACTGCACACCAAGCCCACTTGGCAGGAGTTGACTGACGCCTGGCACAAGCGATTCCAAGTAGAGCCGACCGACCTGCAAGCGATGAACAAGCTCAACAAGCTCCATCAGAACACGCTGCTCAGTCAGGACTGGATTACCGAGTTCCAAAGACTCGCCTCCACACCTAACCTGTCGCTCGCATTCCGCGCCATCAAGCACTTGTTTATCATGCGCTCGTGTCCAACTCTGCAAAACGTGCTGACGCAGATTGCAGAGACACTCGACACATCTGACAAGCTTTTCAGCACAACGTCACGGATCATTCTCACGAATATCGAAGCCCGCAACGCCGGCCAGTCTTCCGCGACGACGAGCGGCACCCAGCCCAAGGCAAAGGTGGCTTGCATTACTTCTACCGAGGCTGCAACACCAATCGAGGGTGAAGTGTTGGCAGCTGCCCGGGATGGTGGCCGGCCGCGCAACAACCACGGCCGCGACAAGACGAAGACTCAGTCCACCTCTACACCGAGCATCGAATCAGCCGCCGACGAACCTAGGGCACAATACGGACTCTCGGCGAATTCTTATCGCACGAGACCCAAGTACCCTTACTGCCTTTGGTGCAATAGCACCATCCACGATGTTGCACATTGCCCCACCAAGGGGAAACCCCGTCAGGGAAAGTAGGCGCCGCCGAGGGTGACTCGACACCTCCCTCGACGCCATCGGAAGCGGTTGTGCGCACGACCACCCTTTCTTCCGAGGCATATGCCGATGTCGGGAGTCTCCTACTTTCGTACGAAGACTTCGCTGCCCGGCTCGTTCCTTCACTGGATGCTTCTCAAGGACAAGATACATGTGCGGCTTTCTCATCGTCCGGAGGTTTCTTCGCCACTTCATCTTCATCAAGGGATTCGGCAAGCGCGTTCAACGAGGAGGTCTTGGACCCGCTCGCGCCCGAGGACTTCGCTTGGATTCCTCTCCCTACGA